TGCTTTGTGGGGATCCACATTACAGATGATGGCAGAAACCAAGGAAGGGGTTGTATGCATATCACTCAACAGAGACTCAGTTCTAAGTGGAAAGTTATGTATATTTGGGCATCAATTTTTCTTCCAAATATGTTTCGCTGAATATGAGAGACAAGGAAAATTTGATGAATTTTTAATTTAGTTTTTCCAACATTCTTACATTTGTCCGTGTGGTGGGTGCAAGGGAGTGCAAAATTGTCCGTATTGTCCATTATCTCAAGCGCTTTCGGTCACTTCTTTAAAAAAACAAACCCCCTTTGAAAATGGTTAAAGAAATGAACGGAACACAGTCAGCATGTTGTGGCCGTGTTCATAACTGTTATTATTGAGAGTTGGTTTATTCTTTTTTATTGTTAACGCTTCAATTACTTAAGTTACAAGTATTACCATATTTGACGGCATATTAGACGCACTTTTTTTTTTTTTACTAAAAAAGTTTTTAAAAATGCCCCTGCGTCTTATATTCCATATGTAGGTTTAAAATTCGCGATAGTCGGGTGAAATTAGCTGCCTGGCAACCCTTATTAGTTTAGACTTAAACATGAAGGAACAATGGAACACGTGAATGGCAATGCCAGATCTCGACCTTTAGACTTACAGGAAGAATAAAAGACTCAACATTGCACAAGTCTGCGAATAAGTAAAGCAAGCTTGGGATAATAGTAGACCAGGAATTGTTGTGAAATCTTTTAAAAGGTGTGGCATTAGAAAAACTCTCAATGGAACGGAAGATGGCGCATTATTTAACGACGGTGAAAGTAATATTGAAAATAAGTATCAGAGTTTTGATAACGAAGACGACGAATTTTATGGATTTGAAGATGAATAAAATTTTAATGGTAACTGTACTGTTTTGCTCAATTGTAATAATTGTTTGATTTTTATTTTGTTTTCTTACCTTTGGATATAATAAAGTTTTTATAGGCTTGTGTTCTTTCTTTCCCATTATTTTTCGTTTAATTGTAATCATGGCTTGTTTAACCAAAATAATACTTCATAAATATAGCCTAGGCTGTGCCATTTACTAATTTTTTCTTGATTTGCCCTGCTGAAATTGGGGTGCGTCTTATACACCCGTCTTCTATTACATTAGGCTCGTCTTCTATTACACGATACTGATCTGAAGAACTCATCCTTTCTTCTACGTCAAGATCTTCTTCCAACACAGCTTCCTCTTCAATTCTGAGTCGTAATTAAACTTTTTTTTTTCTTTGGTATAATGGCTGTGTTATGTCCCCTTGGCATGATGAACTTATGTTTCTTAGAATTTGCTACTTTGTCTTTTTTATACCACATTTTTCATTTGTCGTATAAGACATTGTTAATGTAGATCTTTTTTGTCTTCCCATTAATGCAGATGGGCTTTGCAATATGTCTGCATGTGGAATCGTCCTATAACTAAGCATTAACCATCGTAAGTAACTGTCTGTAGTATCTCTACTTGAGGTAAATTCCTTCAATCCTATTTTTACTGTCTGTACCGTTTCGCTTTTGAGTCCATTTGAATTCACTATGTTTTTTTACAGTTCAGCAAATGGTTCCGTTAAGTCGCTGGTAAGTATCATAGAAATTAACCAACCTTAAAAACAATTCTTCATCTTTTTTTTTTAGTAGGTGATATAATAGAATATACATACACCTGTGTTCCCCTTCACTGAAATATGATTGGCTGGTGTCCGTCATAAATACAGACGGACGTGTAGGAACAACAGAGCTTAAGTCTATGACGACGCCCATTGGACTACACCATTGGGCATTCTATTGGTCTACACCTATCACCTGCGACTACAACGATTACCAGTCGATTACTGCTACCGTATTCTACTTGATTATAGTAGCCAAAACCACTTAGCTACTTCGATCAAATATATCCTTTCCGGGACATATCAGATAGATAGATAAATGAATAGAAATAAAAACAATGTTATATATATATATATATATATATATATATATATATATATATAATAGATAGATAGATAGATAGATAGATAGATAGATAGATAGATAGATAGATAGATATTATCAAGCTTAGATAGTGATATAATGGAATATAAGTTTCCCCTTACTGGAATATGATTGGCTGGTGTCCGTCATAAATACAGATGGACGTGTAGGTACGACAGAGTTTAATTCTATGACGACGCCCATTGGACTACGCCATTGGCTATCATATTGGTCTACACCTATTACCTGCGACTACGACGAGTACCGGCCGATTACTGCTACCGTGTACTACTTGGTTACAGTAACCAAACCCACTTAGCTATTTCGATCAGATATATCCCTTTCCGGGACATATCAGTAGGCATAGATAACTCTGAAATTTTCTTAATTAACTTTGGATCTGGTGCGATACCATCTGTTGGAATCTGGGACCCAAAATATGATATTGTACCACAATCAAATTCACATTTGTCAGTGTTTATTGTCATACCGGCATCTTTTTATACTTGTTTAACACTTGTTCACTTTTTCATTCGTCATTAGTAGTGGAAACAAGACAAATATCACCTTGATAAATAATCATGTTACTAATTTCGTCAGTTAACACGTTTTCCATTGCTCGCTAAAAAATGGCACTTGCCGTTTTCACTTCAAAAGGTATTCTCATCCACCTTAATAATCCTATGGGGGTGTTTATTGTAGTAATTTCTTTGAATTTATCATTAATCTGTATTTGATTATAATCACATTTTAAATCCATTTTTGCAAAAGAATTAATGCCCAATGATTTGATATTGGGAATAGGAAACGAATCAGTGAATATTCTAAGATTTATGCCTATTTTAAAATAACCACATATTAAATCTCTATCTGAGTTTCACAAAACTACAAAGAGAGAGACCCATTTACAGCCATCTGGAGGAACATTTTTTTTAAAGCATTACGCTTCGAGCAAGGCGCGAATCCACTAGGATGCAGGGGGTTGCAGAAGATTTGGAGCGAGAAAAGATGATCAATATTCGAAATAACTATGTTTGAAATACCTATTTGGTCTTGCTTTGAGAGAATCAATGCTGATTTACTTAACACTAACAACGCCCTTGGAGAGTGGCATAGGGCTTTTTTTTGCAGCAAGTGTCATCCCAACATCCCACAATATGAAAATTCTTAGACTCTCTTAAAAGAGAACTGGACTTGCAAAAGTAAGATTAGGTTGCCAAAATATCAAGAACGCATCCTTTAAAATTAATGGCATACTTTAACGAGTACTCTTTAGTAGTTGACTATTTGCGTGCAGTATCATATAAGTTAACTTATAAGGAGCTTTTCTTACTAAATTGTTTTATTAACGATATTTGTATTTCAAATAATTATAATTTGTGTATTTCCACTTTTAAGTTTTATATTTTTAATGCAATAAAGGATTTTGCATTTCAAATAATTATCATTTTGCATTTCAAATAATTATCATTTAGTCTAATTGTCCTTTCGATTAATTTTCATTCAAACAATTTACAATTCGAATAAATGTTTTCGAACAATGTTCAAACAGTTTTGTAACTATTTGCACTATTTTTATTATTGTTCGGATTGCTGTCCTCCTCTATTTATTTCGTCCATCGTTCTAGTTCGTTTCCGATACCATTGGATAGTGATTTTCTAAGGCTTAGATGTGGCCTGGGCTTATGTGGCATCCAGGTGGATATACGTTTAGGAATTTCCATCAACCGAACCCTTTATTTCGTCCATCGTTCTAGTTCCACTGAAGGATACCAGTGGCATATTTATCGGATAAGACAAGTGATTTTCTAAGTGTCAAAATGATTTTAAGCGTTAGATGTGGCACAAGGCTGAAAGTATGTGGCATCCAGTGAGGATCGAACTCACTATTTAGTCGCAATTGTTCCATCAAGACAAGCTTGCTAACCATTACACCGCCTCTAGGTGTCAAAATGATTTTCTAAGCGTAGCTTAGATGTGGCACAAGGCTGAAAGTATGTGGCATCCAGTGAGGATCGAACTCACTATTTAGTCGCAATTGTTCCAGCAAGACAAGCTTGCTAACCATTACACCGCCTCGAGGTGCCCCATGGCATAGTGGATAAAAGCGTTGGTTGAAGTAATCTAGTGACTTGACCCAAAGAGTTGTAAGTTCAATACCTGGCCACAGCAGAGGTGAAAAAATCTTGGAGAGTTGAGTTACTAAAGGGAAATAGCTAAAACTGAGAATAACCTAGAAAAAGGCATGGTACGTGGAACTAGAACAGTCTACTCCTGTGGACAAAATAAAGGGTTCGATTCGAAATTCCAACACATGTCACCTAAAGAAGACCGGGGCGTACAACGGCAGAAACGTCGTGAATATGACAGTAAAGACAACAGTACGAACAATTTAAATAGTGCTCTAGTTATCTATTGAGTGCTTTTTGTCTGGAACTTTGCTTACCTGAAAAGAAAACCCTTAAAATTCTCATCCTTTTCACGTATTATTTTCTTCTTCTTCTTCTTCTTCTTCTTCTTATTATTATTATTATTATTATTATTATTATTATTGTTATAAAAAGAGAATACACCAAGTTCAAAGAAAAAAAGGCACTAAGAATAAATCAAGTAACAAATGATGTAATTAACAGATGAATAACGGGTGATAGCTGTTGAATAGAGTTCAAATGAAAATTCCAATTAATTTGATCTAGGCAAAATATATTCTTTTAGTGGTGTAATTTGCCTGGGCCTAAATATTCACACGCAACCCATTATAGGAATACCTTCTGGAATACGGAAAAGAAAAAAGATAGTAGCAACAGCGATTAGCAGGCTGCTGCTTGCTGGACTGAAACAAAGAAAGAGTTTGGCGAACTGAAGCAGTCAGCTGTTGGAGAGTCTAAACTGTTTAAAACAAAGCGATGGCACTTGTGTCACTGTTGCCCTTTCTGTCTAAGACGAATTGATCGTGATCTACTAATGTCAGCTTTTCAAATCAAGGAAGAGTTAGGGTTGGCTTGTGGTGGTCGATGGCCGCGAGAGGAAAGGTCACTTCTTCTTCAGATTCTTTTTCCGGCCTTCTTTCTGGTTTTGTCTTTTCCTTTTCTCATTCTATGACCTTTTATTTTCACTTGTCGACATTTTTTTCTTCGTCTTCCGTCTTGGTCTCTTCGCTTGTCATTGCCTGCTCTTTGATTTCTCTTCGTTGTGGCCGCCTTGCCGTTGATTAATGGTTAAAAGATTTCGTCGCGCAGGTCATTAATATTGAATAGAGGGCTTGATCCTCTCCAGACGCCCAATACTTGTGGCCTTGTGCCAGACTTATCTAACTTTAGTGCATGACACACACTAAATAGTAAACTCTGTTCATGGTAGATTTCTTTCTTTTTTCTTCTTTTTCTTAGCTGTCCTCCTTTTCTCTCTTGTTGACCTTCAATCACCTTTCGTTCTCATTCTCCAACACTTCTATTTCTCCTCCCCCATCCTTCCCATTGTACTATTCCTCTATAACCCCCTCAACACACAGACACACCCACACCCGCTTTTAATGTCGCTCCTAATTCCGTTTTTTTCTTGATGTTAAAAGGGTTAGGTAATTGTGCTTCTCCAAAAACTACATAATTCGCCATTAACATAGATATGGTATCTATCTATCTATCTATCTATCTATCTATCTATCTATCTATCTATCTATCTATCTAGATATTGAGTAATAGAATGAAAATATAGAAAAAATAACATAACGCGTTTCGTCTTTTAAAAAGGACTTCATCAGTCTAAAATAATATTTAAGAAATGATAAATATGGGTGGGATATAAAAACGAAAACGAAATTAATTTAAAATTTAGCGCCTCTGCTTTCCGAGCGTTTCCTCTCGGTGTATAATTATAACCGACATTTTCGCTATCTATCTATCTATCTATCTATCTATCTATCTATCTATCTATCTATCTATCTATCTATCTATCTATCTGTTGGGGCGCACCCACCTTCTCATCAGAATGGACTGATCTCTCTACTACTAATAGGACAGTTCTATAGAGTTCTGGAAAGATCAGGTGACCATCACACTTCCGTCTCTCTACCGGAAGATAAAGTTGGATTTTATACTCTTTCTGATTGTTACTGACTAACCTGCGTTCGTTTGACTACTAACCTCTCTGTTGTAAATACCTCTTCAAATATACCAGTAGTTTTCCCTACGTATGTGTTTGTCCTTATTTCAATACACGCACGCGGAAACACTCAACACCTCATCACTATCTATCTATCTATCAAGTTCGTATCTATCAGATAGATACGAACGAAAGATCTATCTATCTATCTATCTATCTATCTATCTATCTATCTATCTATCTATCTATCTATCTATCTATCTATCTATTTAGCTAACTAGTGAGCTCAGTTTGTTCATATCTATCTATCTATCTATCTATCTATCTATCTATCTATCTATCTATCTATCTATCTCAAAGCTTAGAAGTGGCACAAGGCCGAAATTTTTAATTCAGTCATAATTGATCTAGTGATACAAGCTTACTGACCATAACCTCATGTCGGTGTGTCCCAGAGTAACCTTGTCATATAAGAAGAAAATAAGTAACTACTGATACCGAGGTTCGAACCTGGTACTCTGAACTTATGAATATATGTTTTCTGACAACTGTATAAATAGCGGTGTCAGGCTACTGACTGCAGTGATTCCTGAGTGATTATTAAGTGACTATTGAGTGCAATCCAGTGAAATTAGTGTAAATTATTGTTGTGGATTCCGGAATGAAATCCGGTCTCAAATGAATGACAAACGCAGGAATGAAATGTAGCAAATAAATGTATTGACGTAATAATACAATTGGTAATACGGTTAGTAGATCCAGAGATGCGGTTAGTTAGCAATAATAATATATATACAGTCTGGGATATTCAGTATCGAAGTAGGACTTCCTTCTGAGTCTACGTGCTCGCAACTGTGACTCCTACCAAGCGGTTACCTCACACTCTCACTCTCTCACTGTATCACTGTCTAACCTCCGGGTGTTCACCGGCAGCAGCACAAGTACACACTGGGCGAGTCCACTTGTATCAAAAGGGGTGGACCCCTTAACAATTATTGTACGTCGATGATTTGGGTTTTGATTTAGGATTTACCGGACGTTAAGCCGAGGTGCATTACTAACAAGGTATTCACTGAAATGCTTAATTGACTTCTTTGTTCTTGTTAAGAATTTATTTTGCAGTTGTAATTAAATACTTAACCTTGAAATGTTGAGATATACTTAATTTTTAACGGCCACCATACTTCACAAACCTGAATTGTATGTAGTTAAAAAAATGATAAATTAAACTTCAGCTTTAAATGTGATGGTATTCTTTTGGGTCGTGAGACTATTAACCGAATATTTTGTAGAGATGTGGGGAATAAAAAAAATGTATGGGAAACCCTGCTTTAAAAAGATGTTAGGAAAACTTTTCACCAAATAAGAGCTTTAATTACAAACTGCTTTTAGCCGAGTATGCGAGGTGTGATTTCAAACGATTTGATAGTTCTACTGAGTAATGTGTCTAGATATGAGCTTGCCAGGGATGATCCGAGATTTGAGCTTTTAAGTGGTGATCCTAGATTTGAGCCTTTACGCGAAGATCCTAGATTTGAGCTTGTAAGGGATGATCCGAGATTTGAAGTTTTAAGCGATGATTCTAGATTTGAGCTTTTGGGCGATGTCCTAGATTTCAGCTTTTAAGAGATGATTGAACTTTTAAGTGCTGATCCTAGATTTAAGTTTTTGATATTCGTAATTTCGAGCTTGTAAGCGTGGTTCTAGATTTGAGCTGTCAGGCAATTCTGCAAGATTTGTGCTTTTATGCCATAATCTAAGACTTGATCTTGTAAGCAATGATCCTAGATTTGAGTTTTTAAGCGATGATCCTATATTTGAGCTTGTAACCGATGATCTTAGATTTGAGTTGTGAACCGATGAATCTAAATTTGAAATTGTAAGAGATGGTCCTAGTTTTGAGGTTTTAAGCGATGATCCAAGATTTGTGATTGGAAGCCATGATCGTAGATTTGAGCTTGTAAGAGGTGATCCTAGATTTGAGTTTGTAAGTGATGATCCGAGATTTGAGCTCGTAAGCAATGAACTTGAACGTTACTTTTGTAAATCTGATGAAAGAATCAAACGTAACTGCATGTCAAGAATTGTGAAACGTAGTCGAAGGTTGTATTTCCGGCACTTGCTGTTGAACTAACACAACTGAGATCAATCCCGAAATGCTAAAGTGTACTAGAAAATAATGGAAAAAGGATTGCTTCCAGTAAACAAAGGTCATTTCCTACAGGGAAGCACAAGAATCGTATTTTTCAACAATGTCGCTTCCTACAGTTCGAAAATAATGAAAATTGGTTAGAGAAAAAGATAATAAAAATGATGTATTGTCTGGTCAGAGTCTGGATTTAAATTTTACAGAGAAAATGAAAAAGGAGGGATACAGAGAAAGGAGGAGGGGAGAAATTGGGAGAGAAAATATGAGAATGAGAGCTAGAGTGAAAGAGAGAGAAAATGTGAGCCGTTTGAGAGAGAGAGAGAGAGAGAGAGAGAGAGAGAGGGAGAAAGGAGACAAAAAGAAAGAAGGAAAGTGAGAAACTGAAAAGAATGAAAGAAAGCTAGACAAAGATAGAGAAAGAGAGAAAAAGAGGGAGAGAATAGTAAAAAATGAGAGATAGAGAGAGAGAGAAAAGATGAGTAAAAGTGAAGAGAGAAAGATATATATATATATATATATATATATATATATATATATATATATATATATATGGTTGGATTGATGTGAGTTTGTGACCCTGGGTTTCACGCTTTTGCGATCGTCAGACAAATATGTTAGTTCTATCTCTGATATTGAGCGCTTTCTAATAAGTACCGCGCATATAATATATAAATAATAATATATATATAATACATTATACATATATAAAAAATCTTTATAAAAGGATGACTAATAAATAAATAAATATAATATAATTTTATAATCTTGTAAACATAAAATTATTCTTGTAAATCAGTCAGTTATACACGCTTAGGCGATCATGTATCTTTCGATACGTGACTGACGAGGCAGATTTTTTTCCTGCAGTAGTTTTCTATTTCTTTCTTCGGTAGACCAGTTGCCATCCAAGGCTATAGAACCCGGTTTGTCCTGCTATTTACCCATAAGATGGTGGGGCAAGAAGTAGAGGATTCATACCTTTACCAAGGGTATTAGCATGTAAATGAATTTCAGTCAGTTATATGCCATGTGTAATACACCCTTAGGTGATCGTGTACTTTTCGATACATGACTGACGAGGCAGATTTTGTTCCCACAGTAGGTTGCCATTTCTTTCTATCCAATGCTATAGAACCCGATCTGTCCTGCTATTTACCCATAATCTGGGGGGAGAAGAAGAGGATTCATACATTTCCAAAGGGTATCAGCACGTAAATAAATTTAATGATTCGACTGGAATTCGAACTCGGCTCTTCGATTTCTCAATCCGAACCGCTATCCATTACTCCTGCCTTTGTGTAAATAAGTAATCTAATGGAGCGTTTAATGTCCTTGTTGTCAATTCTCAAGAATAAAGAAAATAAATAAATCGACTTTGCGACTTCATATTAAATCACCGCTTTTTAAACCAATAAACATTACTGAGGGAGTCAAAGATGTGGACAGTAATAGCGGTGTCAAGGGAATAACCATCCTTTTGACGCATTCATTTTTTACGGGCACGAAGGTCAAACTTTGCCAATTTATTTATTCATCGTTGTAGCTATTATAGACAAAACGTTTCGGCTGAGTACTATCCAACCGTGTTCAAAAATTCACAAAGCAGTACGCACTGGCGATGATAATGAATGTTGATTTTCTAAGCATGGCTTAGATGTGGCACAAGGGCGAAAGTATGGAGCACCCAGTGAGGATTAAACTCAGATGTAACTGTTCCAGCGAGACAAGCTTGTTAACCATTACACTATGTCGGGGGTGCCCTACGCTGGTAACGAATATTGACTCATCCGACACAAGATTTTAAAAGTTTAAAAATACACCATATGTCAGCCTGGACATTGATACTTCTCATTCAAATAGCGGTTATGAGATCAATCCCTGAATATGACAACATCAAATGGATAAAATAGCACAAGAATCAACTCATAAATGACCCGTATCAGCTCCGAAATGAAGGGTGCACAATCGAAAGATCGTGTCTGTAATCATATCATTCGTAACAATCTTTACAAGAGCCAGATCAGACCTAAAATGGACTACCGTAGACATATTTAGGCAGAAGCTGACCAGTTCTCATTTTCTAGTCTCGACAGAGTTTAAAAGCGTCTCCGCGTCCTTGTGGGTGGCAAATTATTTCCCACTATGCAACCCTTTTCCTCACAGACGGAAAGCGGCTGGCCTCTCACTCTATCGCTACTAGCATGAAAAGTGCTCGGACGAACTGCATTCATTAGTTCCACTCGAACAGCTTCTTTTCGTGAACCTCTGCTTTGTGGAACCGACTCCCAAGAGGATGTTTCCCCGATCAGTCCAATCTTAACTTGGTCAGGTGCAGGATTAACCGTTATATAGATGTATAAATCATCATCTAAAAAATAGAAACAAAAGAGAGTTATACCCCTTGGCATCTTAAAGTTGTATCTGCTAAATTTTTACATAGTAACAGATATTGTTTTTTATTAAATATTAAACCAATACAAGGCGTAAGAGCTTTTCAAGTTAGAGGGTTACTGACTGATGTTGACTCTGTAGATGTCCAAAAAAAAACAAAAAACAAATATTCATGTGCGGATGTCTGCAACAAAAATTAGCTCGTTGTTCTAGCAACCTATTATTACGAACATAGCAACAACATATTAAAGTGCATATAACATTTAATGCCATTTTACATTTCTATTAATTTTCGGTCAGCTCACTTATATTGTTTTGTATAAAAAGTCATAACTACAACGCGTTTGCGCCTGTTTTTTTTAATCACTATGACAACGGAATGCACATTTTATCACAGATTTGAATTATATTTGAATGAAGATGTCCTGCACACACACACACACACACACACACGCATATATATATATATTAATGCATGTTTCATTAAAAAATATAGACAAGTTTTGTTAAATTTATTTTAAGCAAATTCCTTTCATATCGTCTGATAAGCTTAATAACATTATCATTGAAAGACGAAAGAAAATCACCATATTGATACATGTTTTTTTTTAATCCTATTTAAGCTCTCGGCTAACATAAGCCATCATCAGAGATGTCAAGTACATTACAATAAATTAAACAATACACGAACATAGCCACAATGATAGTCTGTTTTTTTTTGCATGGAAGATTT